CACACCCAGTGTGTAAGGTAAAGTATTGGAATCGGTCGAAAAATTAAGACTCATAAAAAATCAACGAATCTAGCGTTTTTTCGATGTCCGAATGTATGTGCGTACCCTGTAGGCTATACGCAAAAATTTGTTAACACGATAACTTTCAAACAAGAAAAGTAATTCAAAATTTGACTTCACAGGATGATTAGGGGTGCTGAGGAATAGATTCCATAAGATTTTGAGCGACTTTGGTTGATAGAGTGACGTGTCATGTCTGGTGTGATGCCCATGGCCATCCATGGGAAAAATTCAATTTTTCCTCCAAAAGTGATATTTAATATATACTTAAACACTCAAAAATATGTATTGGGCGGTTTTTGGGTACGAGAAAACCGAATATGACGTTAGTTTTGCGATACAAATGATTTTCGACACACTTTTCATACAAACATTTCAAACATTTTGGATTTTTGTATGAAAGTCATGCCTGTATGATATCGTAATGACCTGAAACTTTGCACAGGTTATTATTATCACACAAAAATAGCATTCTGGGAGTTTGAAGACATTTCAATGCAAGGGGTACCTCCCGAACAAAATTTTGGATTTTTCGTTCAAAAACGAAAATTTTGTATGGAAGGTACCACTCAATTGTATTGAAATTTCTTCAAACTTTCAGAATGTTAGCTTTTTGTGAAAAAAACAACATCTGCACATTTTCACATGATTACGATATCATACAGGCATTGAAAAGTCTATCAAAATTATTTGTATCGGAAAATTTATATCAGATTCAGTTTTCTCATGAATTTATATTTACAGTAAAAAATACGTAATAAATGCATTTTGTGAATCATAGTGCGGAAAAGTTCATCTTACAGACGTAAGACATTTTATTTGTATGGAAGCCATGCCTGTATGATATTGTAATGAGCTGAAACTTTGCACAGGTTATTTTTATGGCTTACACTCTCCAGCAAGTCACTTTCGAGTATCTTATTGGAACCTATACCATTTTTTTATGCATAATTTGTGCGAATTTGTGCATGCATTTTTAGAATTTGTGCATAAATGGCTGATGAGTTATTCAGCTTTATATTTTGTGGTGAATTTCGGTTTTGGATGCAATTCAACATTTTTCTATGGCCAAAAAATCGGGCTCCCCCTATCCAGCCTGGCACATTTTTGCGATTGCCTTGAAACCTTTTTAGGGATTTGTGACACCAATATTTCGGCCCATGGAATAGACCTTCGGCCAATTTTGGCCATTTTTCTATTTAGGCCTATTGGCCAAAAAGTCTCTTAGTGAAATTTCGAATAAAAGCAAAAAATAAAAATATAATGATGCAGAATTTTAGTGATTAATTTGTGACTCAGAACTATGACTTTAGATTTTCGATACGACATCTGGTGGACATATTATGAACAAAAAATTGAAAAATGCACAAAAATGATTTTAATCGAAAATTTGAAAAGGCTTTTCATAAAAATGGGCAAAATTATAAAAATTCTTCGATATAATTTTAGTGACCAATTTGTGACTCTCAAAAATGTCAACATTTGAATTTGTGACACAACGCGTGTGACAAAAATCACAATTTTTCGATTTTCATACTAAAAGTCGAAGTTGAATGACATTTTTCAAATCGAATACGTAGATCCAAACGTCAATCTGGCGGTGGTTCGGGAATGGTGTGGGGAGCCATTGGTTACCTAAAAAAGGTGCCGTTCATATTCATTTTCACCAGAATGAACTAAGAACAGTATCAGCAGATAATTGGCCCTCTTTTCCCTACATATGGCTACGAATGTGCTGGATTGAATTGGAAATTTCAACAAGACAACGCGCCGATGCATGTGGCTCGATCAACTTTTGCCTACTTTGAGGAACATGGAATCCACCTTGAACAACAATTGGCCGGAAAAATCGCCAGGTATGAACATAATTGAAAACGTTTGGGGCATTTTTGCTCGAGAAGTTTATAAAGAATGTTGTCAATACAACAACCAGAAGTGATCAAGACGGCCTGGCGAAACCTTTCCCAGAGTGGAATTCAATCACTGTATGACAGTCTCCCGGGTCGCATGCTTGCGTTGCATGATGCCCGAGTCAAACACACCAATTACTCATCAAGAATTTCACGAAAAATTTGATTTTTAAATCAGTGACTGCGTCTATCCTTAATTCGCACTTTTTGAGTCCAACATTTCTAATAACTTGAAAAAAATAAAGTTCTTTAAATTATTTTTGATAAATCTTTTTGTGATGTGTGCATAAATAGTTGAAAAATGTTATTGCGTCTATCTATTTTTCGCGGAGTGTATGTGCTTAATCCTTTTGTTGCTATCCAATCGGACAATTTTGATTGTTCAGATCGTTTTTCCAACTGCTGTTTTTGTTCCATTATTTTTTGTCAACATTCGAGTGTAATCATCTATATTTTACTTACTCCCAGAATGAACACCACATCTGGTTTATGTAGAAAAACAGCAGCGTGAAACGCTCTTCGCATTTGCCATTCACGACGCAATTTATCAAACCAATGTCCATTGAACGGTCCTAATAAATGTGTGTCAGCCAAAATTATTGCTCGTACAGAATCATTTAGTTTGTTAGGCCATTGACACTGATAAGTAAAATTGTTTATTATTAAAAATGTCGTATAAATTTATTGAACAAATCGTACCTGATTTAATACCACAAAGTTCAGAAGTAATTCATTGTATAAAAAAGTAGCGCCTACAATTATAAACATTATAAACACTGTACGATACATCTTTCTGATAGTTTTTGTATACTTTTTTTAAATTCGTAAATTTTATTTCTGTAAATGGAATACAGATAAAAAATACTTCTGATTTGACAACAAAAACGTCAATATTTGACGTTTCAATATACATGAATTTGTCGATAAGATAGACTTGATATAAGCTGAATGGTGTACGTGACCTGTCATGGTGTTAATAGTATGAAAGGTTTACATTTAGAAATGTGCTTGACTATCGAACGTATCGAGTGAAAAAATATTTCTTTAATTTGTTGAAGTTCAATAGAAACTTTATGTTTTTAAAAAATAGTTATCTTGGTTTTTAAATTTCAATAGATAAACGAAGACGATGGAAGAAAATATGAATAAAGATTCAATTCAAAAAACGGATACAAATGTTGTTGTTGTGAAAGCGAAACCAGTACGTCGTGTATACAAGGGTAATGGACTCATTGATTAAATTGTATTTCCATGACATTCCATTGATTAATGAAACAACATGCACAATGAAACAACATTCTGAAAGTTTGAAATAAGTTCAATCAAAAGTAGGTTCGTGCCAAAATACATAATTACACCAAATTGGGAGAAATTTCAACCACAAATAGAGGTACTCCCCATACATAACTTTCGATTTTTGACTCAAAAACGAAAATTTTGTATGGGAGGTACCTTCAATTTGAATTAGAATTGCCACAAACTTTCGAAATGTTATTCTTTTGAAAGAAAATAGCCTGTTTACATATTTTGAATTATTTATGTGTCAATAGTCTATTAATTGGCCAACAAACTTTACAGCTCTCAGAAATTAGAATTCGGTAATTATTACTTTTGAATTAGTACTGCACTGTACCAGTGATTGTTCAATATCTTTCGAAAAATAAATATTCGTTCGGAAAAGAAAGAAATTTGGAAACAGTGCGGAAAAGTTAGACTTACAGATGTAAGTTCCTTTTTATTTCTATAGTGTTTCGTTAGAAAATAGAATACTTTCAAATGTCGTGAAAGTGTGAAAAATCTTTTCTCGAGTACTTCTGCTATTAAATTAAAGAATATTTCGATGCCAAGATTTGAACATATTTTTTGGTCTTGAACTTTACGCCGCTTGGAAAGGCTTGCAAAATCGAACAAATATTATTTTGTACTTTCTTAATAATATTTTTTACGGTGGTGCGAAAAAGTTCGTCTCGTAAGACACTTTTTTTTATTTGCCATTCTTTTCTTCGATATCAAACAATTCAGCCAATTTTTCCGGCCCTATTTACATTTTTTTCCCGGATATTGTGACGCGTTTGTACAAGATTGTCCGGCTGTGAGTTCACATTTTCGTTGTTTTTTGTTTTGGCTTTGGTTTGGAATACAGTACTGATCAAACTAAAAACCTCTGTCGAGGTGAAGCACGATTGACGAAATCAAAATTTCAAACACAAAATTTCTGATTTCAATTTTGTGACGAAAATAGTTGAAAGATATTTTTTCTGTGTACTGTGAATAAAAATGTTGAACAACAAATTCCATTTTCCTGCTCTATTATGATCTCTGTATTGCTCGCCACATGTTTCTGCTCATTTATTTTGAGTAGGTGCGCGACTCACTCGGAGCGCTCGCAAAAATACATGGGAGTTGGTGAGCAGCTCGAGCTCGATCGTCTTTAAGAGGATAATAAATGAGTGACATTCGACTCATACGCAGTTATCGCTCACAGCAACACGAGCTGCACAACAAACGCTCTCTCTGAGTGCTCGGTGTGTTTCTTTAGCACTGATGAAAATGAATCAAAACGTTGTAATTTGTCAACGTAAAAATTTACTAAGAACGTTCTATTTTTGCTTGCCATAGGTAATGGACGATCTCAACGATTTAATAAAATACCACAAACGATTTTGGACGATCCTGAAATAAATGGAGCAATTGAAACATTACCGAAAAATTATAATTTTGAAATTCACAAAACCATATGGAGGGTGCGAGATTTGAAAGTCAAACGTGTTGCATTGCAACTTCCTGAAGGTAAACGAATTTACTTATTTCTGTTACGTACAATGAAACTAAAAATTGAATTTTTAAAATGTTGAATCGTTAAAGAAAAATTGTCGTTCCAGGTCTCTTGCTGTATTCTATGATTATTAGTGATATTATTGAACGGTTTACGGATGCAGACACAGTTATTATGGGTGATGTAACTTATGGAGCATGTTGTATAGACGACTATACGGCCAAGGCTTTGGGCGCTGATTTACTGATTCACTATGGTCACAGTTGTTTAATACCAATTGACCAAACACATGAAATTAAAGTCTTGTATATATTTGTAAATATATTTTTCGATACATCGCATTTCATTGAAAGTGTTAAATTAAACTTCCTACCAACGAAACGATTGGCGTTTGTCAGCACAATTCAATTTGTAGCCACAATGCATGCTGCAGCGAAAGAGTTACGTGAATGTGGCTACGACATTCATTTGGCACAATCTCGTCCGTTAAGTCCTGGTGAAATTTTGGGTAAGTAGTTTTTATAAAACATGCAGTGTACTATTATTTATAATTGTACTATTTATTTAACAGTTTTAAATTTTTTCGCCCCTAGGTTGTACATCCCCACGAATACCCAAAGATACCATTTTAATCTATTTAGGAGGTAAGTCTGATGCTGACTGAAGGGTGTTATGTCATTATCTAATAAAATGTTATTTATCGTTTCCAATGCAAAAAAGACGGTCGATTTCACATTGAGTCAGTCATGATTGCCAATCCAACATTAGAAGCATACAAATATGATCCATACGAAAAGAAATTTACAGAAGAACAATATGACCATTTGGCAATGCGAACAAATAGGAAAAAAGCTATCGATCGGGCGAAGAATGTGCAGACATTTGGTCTAATACTTGGAACACTCGGCAGACAGGGGTCTGCCAAAGTTATGCATTACTTACAAGATAGATTGGCTTGTCACAATAAAATGGGTTGGCTCGTCTTACTCTCCGAGATATTTCCTGCGAAACTAGATCTCTTCAAAGATATCGATGCTTTCGTTCAAGTAGCATGTCCACGATTATCAATTGACTGGGGAACTGCTTTTTCTAAACCACTTCTGACACCATACGAATTATCAGTTGTGTTGGGAGATGCTAAGTGGGAAATTTCAACTAGCGAAGTTAACGAAAACTATGCTTACCCAATGGATTTTTATGCATCGAAGAGTTTGGGATTTTGGACACCTAATTATAAGTCAGAAAAAGAGTGTGAAGGTCAAAATATTGGTAAAAATTGTTGTGGCAAATGTAAAGACAACACGTCAGTCGTTACATAAATCATTTTGATATATTGTATTCTTTATTGCATTTAAAAACATTATTACAAATGAATAAAGTTCGGAAATTTTATGCTACGTTACGAGCAGAGTTGAATAAGTATTTTTTTATTATAATGAATCAATTTAGAAGGGGTGGTGGTGGAGGAAGTGCACTACTGAATCGTGGTGCACCCAAATTTTGCAAATGCATACGCGGTGGAGGCGGTGGCATCATCTTTGGAGTTTCCAAACGGAATGCAAATTGCAAAAAAAATTGCTTTGTATCTTTATTCCAATGAGTCCAAAATTTTCCGTCTGTTTTTTCAACTTCCCGGCTTGGTACCTTGAAAGCAATTGTTTCGTATGGTTCTGCGGCAAATAAAAGATATTGCCATTTACGGTCGGGCGGTTCAATTTTCTGTTCATAGGCAGACATAAATCGATGCCGAGGAACAATGTTATCAGAAATTTCGGGATAATCAATTTGAAATAATAGACTTTGCTGGCCATTTTCAGGTGAACGTTGTTTAGTTACCTGAAATCAAAAAAAGTTGGTTCATTTTCTTTTACAAATATATTCTGCAAACAGTGGATTATTAATGCTTACACGATAGCCAGGTCGACCAATTTTGACGAATTTTTTGGGTTCAACGCGAGGCTTTTCCGGTGCTAACATTGATGGTGCTTCCTTTGCCTCTTTCGCAGCACGTCTCGCTAAATTGGCTTGGTGCTTCTTACCTTGTGTGTGAGCCAAGTAACTCCCTTCATTGTTGTGAAGTGTCAAACACAATTTGCATTCATAGGATCCTAAGTGATTTTTCATAAAGTATGGGTCTTTATTAAGATCTATGGTTTCAAGAGCCAATTGTCTCAAACGTTCACGACGATCTCGATTCGTTTCGGACCATGATGCTACTCCCCCTCCACCAGTTTTTCCACCAGCACGATTTTGAAAATCCATGTTTTATACTGAAAATCAGTCAATAGAATGTAATTATTTGAACATTTTGAAAATATATTTGGTTTAAATTAAAATTAACAATGTTTCGCCACTTTTACTTTATATTACCCTTTTTATGTTCTATTGTTATATGAATGTCAGAATTGTACCTCATGAAGTTTCAGATGAATGAAAAGGTGAAAAATGTACATTGTACAGCATGAAGTTTGTTAGAAGCCGGAAACATGACCAAATACATAAACACATTCAAGTACAATACTTTTGGCACGCTTTCGAACATACCCTTATATGATGCATTTTCATACGTGTTGTTGTTGTTGTTTACCATTTTTTTTTTTCTTCAAATTTCAATAATGATTTTAATGGTCCAATGTATAAAAATTGCCATTTCTGTTTTGTATATATTTCTGATTTTAAGCATTGTAAAAAGCCATTTAATCTATACATGAATACAAATATGTTTTATACACAATAAAGTATAAGAGACAGTCCTGGCACAACTTAAATCCTTTTTCAGAAGATGGCGCTTGAACCATATAATTTTTTATTTCAGATAAACATATTTTAGCATGTTTTGGTTTTCGATTTTTATGTGCTTTTGAAAATATTAAGCATGTTTTTAAATTGAAAGATTTTCTAAAATGATTGCAAATGATTGATTTTTTTGACGTGAAACATCATTTTTTTATTTTCATATTTGTCAGTTGGTAACCATTCTATTATTCACATGGATTTGACATTTAATTTCTATCAATTCATTCAATGTAGGTATTTCGAAATGAATCATTTTTTTTTATTTTCATATTTGACAGTTGGTAACCATTCAATTATTCACATGGATTTGACATTTAATTTCAAACAATTCATTCAATCTAGGTATTTCGTAATGAATGGCTGCGCAACATAAAGTCCTCATCGTTTAAATACGAATTGTTCGATTCAATTTATACGTCAAAGCAATACATTTACAGCAAGTATCATTGAAAGTGAGCGTGTTGTGTGCTGAAAACCAACAAAATTCGATTTTATTGCAAATTATTCCTTGCAAATTTATTTTAAGTGAAAAATTGAATTAAACCAACAGATAAAATGAAAATCTGGACATCTGAACACACATTTGAGTGAGTATACCTTGAAATTTGTTTAGAAAAATATGAACATTAAAAAAAAACGAGTTGCTAGGCGCAATATGTATTACATAAATGAACATTCGAATGCCAATTTCAATGGCATTGAACTTCAACTTAAATTTATTTTGAAAAAAATGCTGTTTATTTTCGCGGAGATTTGTATTTTTAGACAGCAGTAAAATATTCCTTCAATTAATAAAGTTGGAAAAATCCTGTTTATCGAAATATTTCACACAGAATGAAATAGAGAACTTAGACAAGTGGCAAAGAAAATAACAATTTAAATGAATCAATTACAATGTTATACAATAACTTAAGAGTAAGAGACCATTATGCAGTGAGTCAAAACAGTAGAAGTGAATATAATACTCGCTGGAGTTTGAAATGTATGTAGTATGCATTAATATATTTTGCTTTGTTCAAGTTAAAGTGAATGTAGATCTCAAAAGACTCTGCCATTTTGATTCGTCATAGTAAATGAATTTATTTGTAAAATAATTCTACTTCACTATAAGTCAATAAATTAAAAAGTTTCTAATTATTCGAACTTTGAATAGTACGAAATGAGTATCGATATCCTTTGCTGATTTAATATATTGATTGATATTTATTTATGTGGACGTAGAGTCTACATTCTAGACTATTCCATTTTTGCCTGATATTTATTGTCATGTGTATTTTTTTTTGAGAAAATGCTAATCAATGATAAAGTTTTGTAAAGAAATTATTTTTGAAGCTATCTATACTATTAATTTCTAGCCATCCGTGGGAGACGATAGCACAGTGTCACTGGCGAAAATATCCCAACCCCATCAATCCAGCAGTCATTGGAACTGACGTGATAGATCGAAAAGTAATTAATGGCGTATTGCATACACATCGACTGGTTGGATCAACGTGGTACCTGTTCTTTTGTTTCATTTTTCAATTATTTTTACTATCGTCATTAACATTTATGCAATAATTCTAAGATATACAATGAGATTTTCAAATGACGATTGAAACATAATGTGATAGAGAGAGAGAGAGAGAGAGAGAGAGAGAGAGAGAGAGAGAGAGAGAGAGAG